AGCAGGAATTGCTGGGACTGCAGTAATTTAGGCTTCAGGGATTTGTGCTATCCTCTACATCATTCACCATAAAATATGACAAAGTGGAGTGCAGTGATGGCTTGCTAATGTCTTCAGTACAAGAAAATGAGCCTTCCACTGGGTCTCATGTTCTGTTGGTGTGGATGGTAAAAAGAAATTACCCTTGGCTGACCCACTGACGGTTTGTATTCTTGTGTATTTTCATAGGTACAGTCTTGGTTTTGCACATCATAGCTTTAGAAACCTGGCGGTGCCTCCACATGGCACTTGTGCTGTGCTAAGCTAAGCCTTATTAGGCAGAAAGGTTTTGTTGAGCTACTGTAGCTGTCTGTACCATCACAACGATTCCATAACAGACATATTTGACCTCCAGAAATGTCATAGAAGGTTAATGTGGTAGAATTATCCCCCAAAGCTTGAGCATCTTGCAGTCCATCCTTAACTGAAAGCAGAGGGTTACAGCACTGATCTTGGTGAATGAAGACTACTTTTTCCTAATGCTAAACATTTCTGTGAGTTGCTCTTTGAGGAATGAAGTAAAAGGCAGATCATTTGTGTGTTGTATAGAACTCCAGGAGTGTTTGCAGTCTCCTGGGATTAATGGAAACAGTATATACAGAGTTTGGGAATGGTTGTTAAGATTACTTTTCCTTGTCAAAGCTTTCAGCAGTATTTTATTGTTTCTTTAGGGTTTGCTAGTGTTTATTCTTGATTCCAATGATGCTTTAAAGGAGGGAAGGAGTATCTAGCTGCTAGGTCTGCAGAAGTGTAAATGTATTTACAGTTGATTTGACTGAGCACTCCATTCCTCTGTATACAAAGTACAAAGACTTGGTTAAGTTGTTGGCAAAAGGCAAAGTGGCTTGTGAGATTTTTGAATGTAATGGAATAGGCTTCAAAACTGTCAAGGTCATACTGGAGACTGAATACCTTTGGACCAAATCTGTTGTTAGACAAGTTACTAGATGAAGTAGCCTTACCAGAAAGCCAAAAATACGATGATCCTGTACAAAGCTACTCCTTAACCAGTCTTGTCACATAGTGGCAGGCTGGTTACTGTCTACTGTGAGTTCAAATTACCTAAAAGTAACGAAGCACAAAGACACAGGCTCTGTTAGGAGACTTCAAATGGTGGCTGAAGGCTCCATTTTAAAGGGATTGTGTGCTGAACCCCTGTTTCAGAGTGCTGCCGACCTTCCCCAAACATGCATGTAGCCTTGTTTTCAAAGGCAGCCTTTTGGGTGAAGGATTAGAATGGGACTTGGGAGCACCAGGTTTAACAAGCCTTTTATTGTGAAGTGTTTTTTCTAAAAGAAAAATATTAGTAATCTGTATGAAATATGGCAAAAGTGAGTTAAGGTTAGTGACACTTCGTCTCCATGGTCATTTCTCGCTTCCTCAAGATCACATCTGTTGTTCTGAAATGCATCAGACATACAAATGGACTTTTTGATGAGAAGACAAAGTTACTCTGTTAGGTGCAAAGCCCAGCTTTAAGCCATGGAAGTGAGCAGCTCTTGCGCTGACAAAATTCAGAGGCAGTAGGTCTAACTGACTTAGCACAACCGTGGCGCAGAGCCTGTGGAAGCTCTCTAGCCTTGCACAGTTCAAGAGGAAGAGGCCTTCTGCTTGGGATACAGGGATGCCTCACTCCAATGGCATGAATGAACAATGAGGTCCGGACACCAGTGAATTCCTGCCCAGTCTGAAAGTTGTTGAGCACCAGTTTCCAAGAAACCTCATGGAAAAAGAAAATAAAATCTGGAGGTGTCATGTTTCTCCTCTCTCATTTCTTTTTTTATTGTTTCCCCCCAATTTGTTTTAAATAAATTTTAAATAATCTTTATAGACAATCAGAGGTCTTCTAGGAGACTCTGCCCTAAAGGGTACCTGCTCTCCACTTGTGGGCCGCTTTCTTATACTAACTCATTGGAACTGATGCACTTTTCCTGTATTTTGCCTTTTTTAATTAGCTGCTTGTTCTTAAACAAAGATTTAAATGCATGTTGTGTTGTGTCCCTTCTGCTTGTTGTTTTATCTTTCTTTTAACTTTAAAAAAATATATATATGCAGTGAGACTGAAGTACTACATGGAAGAGGAACATGCACAAGAAAATAATATGCCTATTAAGTCCCACCATTGTTTGAGCAGGTGTAACAATTTAATCAGAGGATTT